TCTCTCTCTCTCTCTCTCTCTCTCTCTCTCTCTCTCTCTCTCTCTCTGTGTGTGTGTGTGTGTGTGTGTGTGTGTGTATTTGATTTTTCGAGACAGGGTTTCTCTGTGCAACAGCCCTGACTGTCCTATCCTAGAACTCTCTCCAGGCTGGCCTCAAACTTACAGAGATCCACCTGCCTCTGCCTCCCAAGTGCTAGGATTAAAGAGGCATGCATCATCATTGCCCAGAGCTTTTCTGTATGTTTTTGTTGCACATTCCACTATTTTGTATATCTGTTTACAATCAGATTTCCCCTCAACATTGCCTGTACAAGTCCCTGGCTTCCTCGGAGTCTGAAGTGGTAGGAGATGGAAAAGTAGTGTTATTTAGTGGCAAGCGCATGGGTTTCATAGAACCAGGAATGACAAGAACGATTATGAGGTTAGGAGAGCAGGTCGTGGTTAAATTGTGACTTGGCCTTATCCTAAAGAAATTAAGATCTTATGCAGAAGACAGTAAATCCAATATCATCTTTATATAAGGCATGAAATAAGTTTATATTTAGGAACGTAATTTTTTAAAAGACTTGTGGTGAAACCTTAAATTGTGAAACTTATGTGCCATTATAAGAGATGGTGACTGTTTATTTAAAATATAGAAGTGACTGATCATAGTGACTTATGCCTGCCATCTCAGTACTTAGGAAACTGAGACACAATATAACTACAAGTTCAAGGCCTTTCTTGGCTTTATAGTGAGTTCCAGGTCAACCTGAACTACCATGTAAGTCCTTGTCTAAAAACAAAAAGAAAATGCCAGGCATAGTGGTGCATACCTTTAGTCCCAGCTCTTAGAAGCAGAGGCAGGCAAATCTCTTTGAGTCTGAGGCCAGCCTGGTCTACAGAATGAGTTCTAGGACAGCCTGGTTTACATAGTGAGTTCCAGGACAGCCAGAGCTAGCTAGAAGGTGGTGTCTCAAAAATCAAAGCACCACAAAACCAAACAACCAAACAAAAAGAACCTAAACCAAAGCAAGCAGCAATAATAGAGTGGAGGTAAATGGAGAGAACCAAGCTTGGACAGCCTCGGAGTTAATTCAGTAAGAGCAGGAAGGCAGGGCTCTTTCGTCAGTACTGTACTGGCTAGAGTTGGCGCTATTTCTGGTGACTAGTAGATGTTTTAATGAATGAATGAATGAATGAATATTACCTCTTCATATCATAATTGCCTCTCATCTGACAGGACTTTCTTTGCAGAGGTATACCTTTCTTTTTCTTCCTCTGAACTCTTAAAAAATAAAATGACTTAGTGTTTGTGTGTGTGTTGTATGTGTGTTACTGGGGAGTTCATGCAGAGGTCGGAGAGCAGCTTGCAGGAGTCACTTCTCGTCTTCTACCACGTAAGTCATAAGTTAGGGGTTAAACTCAGGTTGTCAGGCTCGGCAGCACACAGCCTATGAGACATCCTGCGAGCTCCTTCCCTTTATAAAACATAGAATATATTTAACTTTTTTATTTAAATTTATTTATTTTTTTATTTTTTTTTAAGATTTATTTATTTATTATGTATATAACATTCCTTCCATATATGCTTGCATGCCACAAGAGGGCACCAGATCTCATTATAGATGGCTGTGAGCCACCATGTGGTTGCTGAGAATTGAACTCGGGTCCTCTGGAAGAGCAGTCAGTGCTCTTAACCTCTGAGCCATCTCTCCAGCCCCTAAATTTATTTATTTTTATAAGTGTGAGTATTTTACCTCCTTATATGTATGTGCTTGGTGCCTGCAGAGGTCAAAGGAAAGCTTCAGATTCCCTGGAACTGGAATGCATCTTGATCATTTGCACCTCCAACTCCCCAAACTCCTCCCTCCCATTCCTTCAGGCATCCCCAGTGTATCCTCCTCTCATACTCACATCTTTCCTAAACCTTTTTTTTATTATTAATTTTATTTGTGTGTGTGCGTGCGTGCCTACATCAGTCTGTGTGCACCATATATGTACAGGTACCCACAGAGGCTCAAGGGCATCAGATCCTCTGGACCTGGTATTACAGTGCTATAAGCTATAAGCTGCTTGATGCTCTTGCTGGAAATAGACCTGAGACTTCTGCAGAAACAGTAAACATTTTTACAGTCTTTCTTGAACTCTTTTTTTGTTTTGTTTTGTTTTCAAGAAAAAGAGTTTCTGTGTGTAACAGCCTTGGCTGTCCTGAAACTCACGCTGTAGACCAAACTGGCCTCAAACTCAGAAACCCACCTGCCTCTGCCTTCTGAGTACTGGGGTTAAGGGCATGTACCACCCACCTATGCCTGGTTTCCTGAATTCTTTAACAGTTTTGAATATATAATTAACTAGGTTCAAATTGAAAAACAGTATTAAAATATATAGTCACCTTATACCCATTGCTTTTGATTTATGAATAGTTCTTGCCTTTTGGCTGACCCTTGCACACTAAGTACACAAATGTACATACAAATACACACACACTTGTAATAATGACAAGAAAATGTTTAGTACAGTTATGATTTTAATAGAAAAATCTTTCTGATACAAAGTTGAATGAGAGCACTGTGCTTTAGAAAGCTTCACACTGCCGTAGGTCACCCGCCTTTACACTGACACTTCACACTGTCGTAGGTCACCCACCTTTACACTGGGACTTCATTTTTCCTCCAGTTCTGCCCAGGCACATGCTGCCATCCCTTGCAGCAAGGATTCTGGGTACCAATTACTTGCTAGACATCATCTCTCCTTCCATTCATTGTGTTTTATACATAAAGAATATGACTGTCTTAAGAAAAATACTTATCTATAATCATAGTTGTCTAGGTAGCAGAACTGTGATTTTTTTCTAAAAGCACCCTCTTTTTGCTCTTATATATGACTGTGTATATGTGGATATGTATATGACGTATGTACATATGCACATACATGTGTATTCCAGAAGCATTAATTTACTTTATCCAGCTTAACATCATCTCATCTGACTTTCCCCTAAATTTCCTAATGTAAACTTGTGTGTGCAGGATACAGTTCTTACTGCTTAATATCATTTTAATTGCTGTACTTTGAAACAGCTTTACAAAAGGAAAGTAACTGTACATTCCTGATTTGTGCTTCCCAGGTTTTGATGGACATGTTTGATCAGGATGATGATATAGGTTTGATTTCTCTCTGTGAAGATGAACCTAGTTCTTCTGGCGAGCTAAACTACTATGACCTTGTCAGAACTGAAATTGCAGAAGAGAGGCAGTACCTCCGGGAGCTGAATATGATCATCAAAGTGTTCCGGGAAGCCTTCCTTTCTGACCGGAAGCTGTTCAGGCCTTCTGTAAGTACTCCGGGTGCACACCCGCAGCAAACAGCAGTTGTTAGTGTGTCGTTCACCTCACTAGTATAGAAGTGTTTTTCTTGTAGTTCTGATTTTTACAACCATCTGAATTGTTGTATTGGTCTAAGTGCAGTGACAGTAGAGTCAGGTGGAGGGATTTTCATTGGAACGGTGACATTTTCTGCTGCACAGTAACAGACTTAGCCAGCTGTCCTAAGAGTTAGTCACTCATTTGGAATAGTGAAGAAAATGGTCTAGATGTGTGCTCCTTCCCTTGCAGTGGGCGCTTTAAGGCTACAAGCTTCAACAGTGGACATGATGAATTACTGTCTCAAAGTTGCTGCTGTTCTGTTTTTGACACAGGTTCTCATTATGTAACTCTGGCTGACTCTGTAGTGTAGTCCAGGCTGACTTTGAACTCACAGAGATCTACCTACCTCTGCCTCAAAAGTGCTGGGATCAAAGGTGTGCGCCACCGAGCTCAACTAACAGTGGGAATTTTGTTTTATTTTAATTTTAAAAATTATTTGTGTGTGAGAGTGTTTTGTCTGCATGTGTGTCTGTGCACACATGTGTGCCTGGTGACAATGGAGGAAAAAAGAGGACATCGGATCTTCTGGAACTTCTGTTACGCATGGTTGTGTACGGTTGTGAGCCACCCTGTGAGTGCTGGGGTTGAACCTGGTCCTCCAGAAGAGCAGTTGGTACTCCTCACCACTGGGCCGTCTGCCCAACCCCAGCAGCAGGAAGTTTAAAAGAGAATATTTTATAAGAATCCCAAGTAAAGAATCAAAAACAGTAGTATGGCCAGGCAGTGGTGGTGCACACCTTTAATCCCAGCACGCAGCAAGCAAAGGCAGGTAGCTCTCTATGAGTTCGAGGCCAGCCTGGTCTACAAGAGCTAGTTCCAGGACAGACTCCAAAGCTACAGAGAAACCCTGTCTCGAACTCCCTCCCTCCCCCCCTAAAAAGCAGTGGTGTCGTGTTTGCATACAGGACAAGGATGGGTCAAGGGTCTTGTCCAGAGTGACTTGGGCCTCTTCTCTCTCTATAGCATAAAGTCAGCTCTCAGGATGTGAACCTCATACCATAGCCCAGAATTCAGGATACAGAGACAGGAGGATCAAGAGTTGCAGGCTTATCTAGGTTACATAGTAAATTACTGTCTCAAAGTAAACAACAAAACCCAGGACAGTTCTAGGAACTCCAGCTTAAAAAACTATAAGTTTCTTTCTCTTTTTCTTTCTTTTTTTTCTCTAAGTACGTTTGACCTATATTTTAAAAAATATTTAATCTTAAGCTTACCTATCGTTTGCCTCCTGTTCTCCACTGCAATAACTTCTACAAACAAACAGGTACAGTGCTCAAGTCTGGCTCTTTGAATGTTTCAGAACTGATAGCTTTTATTCTTTCCTAGAAGAATGATCAAATGATAATTCAAAGTGTTTTAATTGACCTTGACTTGTTTCTTTTGCATACATTTTTAGTTCAGTAATGTTGCTAACCCCTTCTGGATATGCTAGAATGTATTCAGGATTTTTTTTTCAGGATTTTTTTTTAACTGTTTTGTTTGATCATCTCAGAAGTGACATATATAGGGCAGACATCACTGTTTCTACTTTCCTGGTGTAAAATAGTTATGAATTAGTCAAATCCAATACAGCCCTAGAGCTTGGATTTGAGCTCTTTCCTACTACATTATAAACTGGTTTTCCATGGCAATATTAGGAATAAAAGCAGCAAACACTATTGGTTAATGTTCTCTTCTGTGTCGTTCCTGTGCCCCACCAGTGTTCACTCCTGGGGAATTAATTTGTCTCTTTTCACTGGATTAATGCAGATTCAATAGGCAATCTCTGTTGTACTGAAGGTTGGTTAGAAGTAAGGATTCCTTTTATTCCTCCCTCTCTGTTTCTGCTGTAAATGTTTTTCCCATGTAGACTACACTCTAAAGTTTTGAATTAAAGACCATCAGAGAATTTGTTGGCAAATGTTAGAAAAGTAATAAATGAATTAAGGTTGATTCCAGTTACAAGATGTGTGACCATGAGCAAATTCCCTGACTCGTTGGTGCTTCTGTTATTATTTGTGAGACAGGGATGCTGTGGGTGCCAGTCTGATAAGGCCACATGAAGCTGGGAGTGCAGACCACTGCTAAGAACACTGCCATGTAGTCCTTAGCAGCACCTAATGAGCAAATAAATAGATTTTAAGAGAAAGCCCGTGTCAAAGGCTTAACGATATTATGTGAAACATATTCAGTGTCAGAGCTTAATTGTCATTTGCATCTTAGTCCATGGTCTTTCATCTTGCGTATTGTAAAAGAAAACACTGTTTTTATTCTTTAACCTTTAATCTCTCACTCATAAACCTTATGATATGCGTGTCTCCTCTGACCCTCCTACACACGAAGTAGTTCTTTAACGGATAATCTCAAACCTGATTTTACTTCACTAGACATGGTGTCATAGCTGAAGGATTCATACCCAACAAGGCTATAATAGTTGAAGTTCCTATGGCTCCCTCCCTGAGTTCAGTTAATTTGCTGGGGTGGGCTCATAGGACTATTTAAGTTAGCCAGTTTATTTTAAGGAATGTTACATGGGATACCAAGTGTACGACAATGAGGGAAAGGAAGGGACAAGTCTGAGGGTCAAGGCTTCCATGCTCTGCCTGGGAAACCATGCTCCTGACACCTCCATGTGTCCACAGCTCAGAAGCTCATCAGCCTTGTTCACAAGTCTTTGTAGAGCTTGGACTCCATTCTCCTCCCCTACTCCAGAAAAGTCAGTGAGCAGAGGGAACATGCCATCCCTCCAATCCTCACCCTTGTTATCACAGACTCAGGAGTGAGCAGACACTCAGGGAAGTCCAGTGTTTTATGAGCTCCATCAGAAGAACCAGAACAAAAGCCAAACATTCGCATTATGTAACACAAGTAGCAGAGCCAAGATTCAGCGTGCAGGTGGATAATGTTCCATAGCCAGTTATATTCCCATTGCAAGATACTAGGAGAGTCGTTCTGTAGCATGGATGGTAAGTAATGTGATCTGTTTGTGTCTCCAGTGCTCATGACTTAATTTAAATATGACAATAATTCAAGCATGGCCATTTGATGACATCTTTAGTTCCTTCTAAAATTTGGAACATGACCAATAAATTTAACAATTAAATTGTATCTACATTAAGAATCATTTTTCATCCTGGTCCTAGCTGTTGCCATTAGCTTACTCTTTAAGACCTTCATTCTTTCAGCATCTTAGCCAATTTCAATTTATAGTGATGTCTATGAGATTTGAGGATTATAAATTCAAGCTATCTGGAATTTATATTTTCTAGTATATTTATTGTCTCCGATCTAAGAGATTCTTAAAATTTCCTATGTATTCATGATTGATTTTTACTGTCTTAGAATATACTTTAATGAATTAGGTGAAAATACATCTTTAACATTTATCTCGTGTGTGTGTGTGTGTGTGTGTGTGTGTGTGTGTGTGTGTGTGTACATGGAGGTCAGAGGACAATCTGTGGAAATAGATTCTTTCCTTCACTGTGTATGTCCTGGGAATGAATCTCAGGTGATTATGCTCAATGGCAATCACCAGCCGAGCCATCTTACTACCCCCTTCCTTTTGAGACAGTTTCTCTCAGAGAAGCTGGTGCTCATTTATTCTTCTGGGTGGGCTGGCCGGCCCGTGAGTGACACATGGCTGCCCCTTCACCCCAAGATCACAAATACATACCAGCACACCTGGCTTTCAAGTGGTGCCAGGATCTGAACTCAGATCTACATACACTCACCAGGTCAGCCATCTCTTCAGTCCACTTTTGTTTCATATAGTATGTGTAGCATGATTCTTAGCCTTCTATGCCTTAACTTTTTTTTTATTTTTTAGGAAATTGAAAAGATTTTCAGTAACATTTCAGATATACATGAATTGACTGTGAAACTTTTAGGTTTAATTGAAGACACAGTAGAAATGACAGATGAAAGTAGTCCTCATCCATTAGCTGGTAGCTGTTTTGAAGATTTAGCAGAGGTAAGTCTACAAAACCACTTCAGACTGTCATTAAAGTCCTAAAAACTATGTCAAGAGAAGGCCCTTCAGACTTCTGTAAGATACTCAAGATTCAGTTGTGTTGCTTAAAGCTTTAGCAGGTCGTCTTGTTTGCAGCTTTGAACTCACCACTTGGGTGGCTAGGGTGCAGGAGTGTGCCCATGCCCAGCTACTGAGGCTTCCTTTAATATATGTACTATTGTTGACATTTATTGTGAAAACTTGTATACTAAAGTAATGACATGTAGGAATACTGTATACTAAGAATAGTTTTATGGTGAAGGAAATAACCTGTTGATGATCATTCTTTAACTTTTGCAGGTTTTAGACTTCATTTTCAAAAAAATCAAAGGGGTTGTATTATTTTTTCCAAAGTCAACTCGTCTTGTTCTTTTAAATGATTTTAAAACAATGTATCTTTTTGTAAAAGTGTAAATATAAAGATGGCCACTATAATTTATAACATTTATCCTTTTAAAAATTATTTTATGTGTATGGGTGTTTTACCTGCATGTATGTCTGTGCACCAGATGCATGCATGCAGTACCCAAGGAGGCCAGAAGAGGGCATTGGGTCCCCTGGAACTAGAGTTACAGACAGTTGTAAGCTGCCATGTGGGTGCTGAGACTTGAACCCAGGTATTCTGGAAGAGCAATCAATGTTCTTAACCACGAGCCATCTCTCCAACCCTTTACATTTATCCTAATATAAATATTCTTTGTGTTTTATAAAGCTATGTGTATATTTACAAGAATAACATTTTCCCATTTTATAATATTTTTCATTCTATCATATTGTCCATGTTAGTAAATATCCTTAATCATATATTTTAAGTATAAAAATATAAATATATAAGACTGGCAATATGGCTAAGCAGGTTAAGGTGCTTGCCACCAAGCCTGACGACCTGTTGAATTCCTCAGACCAACCTGCTGGGGAGAAAGAACTGTTTCCTGCATGTTTTCTTGTGGCTTCCACATATTCACAGAGACATGCAGATAAATGACATTTTACATAGTATAAATGTATTATTATTTGTATATTGCTATACATGAGTATATATATATTGTTCTTATAGTTCCTCTTTTAAAAAGCATGTGAGTGTCTGCATCCTCACTGGCCTTTGAGTCGTTAAAAGCGTTGCTTTCAGATTCCATGTACAAAAATCACTTACTTCCATGAACTCCACCTTACCTTCTGAAAATAATTACTTTTGTTAGGTCTGTTTTGTTACTAAGCATCAGTTTGTCTTTGTTTCTGTTTTTGGGATACATAATCCTGTTGTGTATCCCATTCTGGCCTCAAACTTTCAGTCTTCCTGGTTAAGCCTCCTGACAGTGGAATGCAGGCTTGAGCCGAAGGTCCTGGCTCAACCTTTGTTCTTAATAAAATATATACATTTTGATACTAATTTACGGTATCCTTAACTTTCTACACCCTTAAAGGTACTTTGCTTCTAAAATGCTTTCTTGTTTTTATTTTTAAATTTGAATATACAAGACAACAACATTTGACATTTTCACAATTTCTTAATTGCATTTATTTATTTGTATGCATGTGTGTTTGTGCATGTGTGCATACATGTATGTGTGTATGCGTGTGGAGGTCAGAGAACAATTTGCAAGAGTTGGTTCTTTCCTTTCTATCCTATGGGTCCTGGGAATCAGTTAAGTCATTATACTTGGTGACAAGTGCTTTTGCCTGCTCAGCCATCCCACTAGCCCCAATTTAATTATTTTTAAATGTGTAATTCAGTAATTAGTGTAGTGCGTGTAACACAATTTTTACTATTATTTGATCATGACCACTGTATAGTTCCAGAACTAATTTATCATTCCAGATAGAAACTACCCAATAATCAATAATAACATCCTCTGCCCCCACTCCCTACACCTAACTCTTGGTAACCACTCATCTCCTTCCATCTCTGTAAATTTGTCTATATTTATAAGTGGGTTCATATATTTGTCTTTTTCTGGCTGTTTATTTTATTTAGCATAATACCATGAAGTTCATCTGTGCTAGTGAATAGTTGAGTGGTGTTTTGTCACAGCTGCACCTAGTTAGAACATCACTCTCCTGCACATCCCAAGTCAGTATATCCTGAAATCCATCACTCGGAGCCTGCACTAATTAATTTGGATTTTAAGAACATTTAGAATTTTTAGACTGGAAATGCTTAACCAGTAAAGTCTATGTAAATATTCCAAAACCCAAAAACCTCTAAAATCTGAAACATTTCTGTATTTCAAGCATTTCTGAGAAGGAATGCACAGCCTGTATCATGTTCTGTTTGCCCAGTCATTTGCTGATGGACGTTTGGAGAATTCTGTCCAGTGCTGTGGTGTAGAATACTGCCCAGTGCTTTGATGTAGAATACTA